ACAGTCCATGGAAGGTTCTAAAGGTGGTCGGTGATGATCAGTTTGGCCTTTCATATGTGATTGACGTGCCTCCCCATTTTCGCACGTATCTGGTCTTTCACGCGTCTAAACTGCTTTTGTATCTTGCTCCTGATTCCTTTGATTATCATGAGCCTACGATCCCTTGTGCAATCAACAGTGGTCACGAAATAGACAGGATTGTAAGTCATACTGGTAACGAACGTAACAAACAATACCAACTTCACTTTTTGTATTACCCGTTGGATGATCTCTACTGGATTTCAAAGAACAAGTGGATGCCCGCCGCAGACGCGGCGGAGACCACGAGGGAGACTGGAAAAAACTCATTGCAACATAAGGGACAATTTGTTCCTTGCCACAGCCAGGCCGCACCTGACAGGCTGAGCTATATTCTGTGGCCTGGTTGATATGGCAGCGCATCTTCCCATGATCCAGAGAAAGATTCATTCTCGTTTCTCATTCATGAGGGACATATTCGAATGTGAGGACGGCGACAACGCGCCTGTGCACTTGTGTTTGCATGTCGGGGAGGCTACGATGGAGACCACACGAGGGAGACGAGTGATGCGATCCAAGTGCGGGAGAGGAAGGCTGCGAGAACTAAATGAAAACGGTGTGGGGGGGCAAGAAATGACCCCAAAAAAAAACGAAACGATGCCCCTGCAAGCAGTGCAAAAATCGGAGGGTGGATACTGGTGCGGCGATGCCCTCACCAGATGTGCAAAATGAGAATGAATCTCCTGCTAGATCATGGGAAAATACGCGGCCATATTTTGAACTTGCGGGCTGGGACTCAAAAAACATACGACTCGGAGCGCTGAACCAATACCCCCCCCCCCGGTAGGCCGCGCGGAGACCTCCGCGCACGATTTTTCCTCTGCCCCGCAGCCTGCTACGACACGAACCGACACCGCCCCCCCCGTCACGACCGCGCCCGTCCCGGCTACCGGCCTCCCCAACTGTCGCGCCCTCCTGAGGTCTCCTGCAGCACCGCGCGCGGACCTCCCTGCCCGAATTTCGCTGGGACCAGCGGGAGCGTCACGCGCAGACCGCTTTTTGCTTTAAGGTATAAGAGAAGAGAAGAATTGCTGCAAAGTGCACCTCAATGCCAGATAGTTTTCGGTGTTGTTCCAGCATTTTGTGCGAAACTCACTGCTACTGAGCATACACGAAATCTCTTTGCTATGTTCGCGTACGATGTCTTTGGCAAGGACTCGGATCGAGTTACCTGCTTGAAGGGACCTTGCTCTTGAGGGGGATTAGTGTAACGACCTGCCAAAGCACGGACTGAGAACACTAGTGATTTCTGAGTTTTGTGGCTGGATTGTATGCCTTGCTGAGATTACCACTTTTTGCTGAGTTTTCCAAGTCTGTGTGTGTGTGTTTGCTGGTCCGTGTGCGTGTCTGAGTGCTTGTTGGCCTGAGTGTGCGTGTGGCCCGCCAGGGCACTTATTTGTTTGGAAGGCCCACGGGGCTGGTACTTACCTGTGCTCGTGGGGTTGCAGCAGGGAAAAACACTCAACTGGCCGAAGGGGTGGCTTAACGCACACACTCAAGTAGCGGTAGGTAGGTAATGGTAGTACTTGAGTAGCGGTAGGCCTGTAGTAGTAGATATCAGGTCTGCAACGATGTTTCCCTCCGAAAGGGAGGTGGTACCAGTTGCTTGGAGGCCAAGCGACCTGGAGGTCACCACCCAAGAGGCCGGAAGGCCGCTCAATCTCCAGGAGGAGTGAGTGGCTCCTCATTTGCTGCTTGCAAGTTTGGGCGTCATGCTGCTGGAGCGCCCGGTCGAAGGGCCCTAGTGTGCAGCACTGGGAGGAACACCAGGGCTTCCACCTTGGCTATGGTTGACAGCGCCTGGTAGGAGGAGGAAGAAGGGGCTAGGGAGGAGAGCGGCCAAGGTACTTACCTGCCTATGGTGGGTGCCATCTTCATTTCCTGGGTAGGCGCAGCATCTGGAAGGCCCCCAGTGGGGTAGCGTCACACCAAGAAGGCTTCAGCGAGGAGTCGTGCATGACAGCCTGAAGATTGGAGGACATAGCTGATTTTGCATCGTCTTTTGAATACCGGGCAAGGCCTCTAGTAATCCACCATAGCCAGTACCTGTCAGAGGTGGAGGAAGATGGAGGTCCTGGCTACGGTGGACCTCATATCCCACTGGCAGTAGGAGAGGACTCGAACATTGGTTCTGGTTCAGCCATACATTGTCATAATTGCGACTTATTGTTTGAATAAGAGAGGAGGAGATAAGGAGGAGTTAGTTGGTGAGAGAAGGGGAAATTGTCATTGGTTTTTTGCTGGTGTACATCTTTTTCTTCTTCTTCTTCTTTGATCTCTCTCTCCTCTCGAGTTCATTCATTTCTTTTTGTAAATGGATGGCATTGTATTTCGTTGTGTATTTGCACTTCCGAATTGGCCAGGATCGTAACAATAACAAAAGAATCTAAAATTTTACAAAAACTTCAAATTCGCCAACAACTATTAAGTTTTGGACGACAAAAATTTACAAATTCTGCACAGTTTCAACAGTAAAATTTTACATGTTTTGAACATAACATTACACCAAACTTTGTCCATGTCAACCACAGGACGAGCACCAGTCTTACCCAGCCTATTCTGTCGATCCTCAAAACTTGAAACACCCATGGGAAAGTCAGTACCAGAAGTAGCCTCTGTGTGACCACAAATGGACAAGAAGCCTGCAACCTGGAACAGAAAAGGGCCTCCCTTCTTCTTTTTTCTTTTGTGGGGGGGGGTAGTTCTTCCTTCATGTCTCTTGTTTTTTTACTCTCTCTCTCTCTCTCTCTCTCTCTCTCTCTCTCTCTCTCTCTCTCTCTCTCTCTCTCTCTCTCTCTTTCCCCCCCCCCCGTGAGAGAGTGAGAGTCGCTCTTGTTTTTTTACTCTCTCTCTCTCTCTCTCTCTCTCTCTCTCTCTCTCTCTCTCTCTCTCTCTCTCTCTCTTCCCCCCCCCCTATACACAGAATCAGCTATGACCTGTCTCTTATACACATCTAGATGTGTATAAGAGACAGCATCACCTGATAGGATTAACGGAACCAAGTGGATTTGACCCAGTAGGTGGCACGCTGCAGCCTGCGGAGGCTAGGTAGGGCAAACCAGCTGCGCAGATATGTTTCATGTCATACATCAAAAGGGTGAACCTCAAAGACGAAACAGCAAATATGTATATTTTCAGGCCAGCTGTGCAGATTTGTCCCTGACACATGGAGAGGGAGCCATGTTTTATGTCGTGCAACCCCCAGACACAGACACGCAACCTTCTCATGAGTCAGGAAAGGTCCAAGGAAATAGTGAAGTCACAGTCACCCCTTCCTTCTGGAGTTACGCTTAGCGACTACATAACACACACACACACACACACACACACACACACACACACACATATGGGGGGGTTGACCTTCTGCTGACTTGGCAAAAGTCCGACGAAACAGTTTGGCACAGTCATGCTCTTCTGTGTGGAGCCGATGAACATGACAACACAGTGAACACACACATTTGAAACATAATGACAAGAATAAACCAAACAGACAGCCACGTGCAGGACAGGAACCTGGTCACAACCTAGAAGCAGGTACACTTTCAGTGGCCTTTTCCAGGATGGTCTACCTGTGAAGCATCCAGGACTACAGGTGCAAAATCCCGTGAACAGACCCCCAACAAAAATACTTCAGAGAAAAAGAAAACGAGGACAAGGGTTGAAAGAGATCGGGAGGGATGACAGACAAATTTTGATCGAACTCATGCCCTGTCGAGAGAACTTGTGCCATGTCGAGAGAAGTCGTGCCCTGTTTCTCAACAGCTATATGTGTGGTACCCTTCACGATCTGAACTCATGCCCTGTTTGCCAACAGCCACAACTCCTGACCTGATTACCAACAGCTACATGTGTATAATACTGTATACCATTCAGGATTTGAATAAACATAACATGTACCAATCCACGGCCACATGTGTTTCAGTAACAGTTTTACCCTTAAGGATTCCAACTCACTGATCCCTCCCGAAAACACCTACCATCCCCAGAGATCCGAGCTTCACTTTTAGGGGGATTACCCGGATTAGAGATCAGCGAGAAAATGACCTTTCAGGACATCCGTTAATTCGGAACGGTACAGAGAAGATTAGCATGGCACCTGCGCAAGGATGCCATGCATAAATCGAGAAATGGTCCAAATTTTGAAAGAAAACGAAAAGAGAGAGACCCGCTAGAAAAACTGCAACAGGCTTCTTGCTCGCCCACTAGGACCTGGTGGTTTGGCAGTTCACACCACACTCTCCCCACTGAATTCCCCTAGAGGTTGATCCCCTTCTTCCAGATTTCCTGGTGGGAATCGTATTCAGTCAACTGATAGACATCTCATTAGAAATGACAAAAGGCAGGGGAGAGGCGGAACAAAGGGAAATTGCAAGTCCGCTTCCTACTTGGAAGACATCTTGTGAAATTTGCCTTTCAGAAAGCCCGACAGTGTGGCAGTCTCAATCACAACGGTCAGCAGATGAATGGCATGAACCAAGCAGGCAGGAACACTTCACAAACGCGAACGTCAACCCACCACAGCAGAGCTCAGACGCAGGACACTTTTCAGACGTAGAACGACAACAAATGGCACAAATCAAACATTTAGTAATTTACAGCATCCTTCCAAAGTTCAGAATTTTGAACTTCAGACAACATCTGTGGGGTTACTGGCAAAAAAAAAATCCCTAATGACAGACACAACTACAGCACACCTTGTCAAACAGTACTTCTTGAACTAATTTCTTATTGTTTTCGCGCAATAAGTCTAGGAATACGTTTATTTGCCAATATGATGGCTGGTCATAGTTAAGTGAAGATAGATGGTTAACACCGAAATGCAGAATCAGGCATAGCATTGGTTTCAAGGGGGACAGATTGTCCAGGATGGGACAGACTTGAAATGTTACTTCTGCACCGTTCAATCGAATGGGTCTTCATACCTTAATTTCTGTGGCATCATTTTCGACGTTGCTAAGCTCGATTGCCGATCCTCCTCGAACGAATCATATGTTGATGAATCTCCTGACGTTTCCATCTCATCGTGTGCCCAAACAGGTAGAACCTGCACACAAGTTACACACGCTTCCTGTCACCAGACCCCTCCAGTTCCCCACAGTCCTGATTCCCATACAATAGCATGCAGCTGCTCTGTGTAATATTCAGGCCACCTTAAGAGCTACCCCTCTCATTTAATGAATGCTTGACATTCTTGACAAATCAGCGAAGAAGTACATTTGCTCCGTCCACTCTGTTCCTTCGCTTTTTCCTGAACTCTCCTCTATTTCTAAAACTCAAAAATTGAGTAGTGATTTAGCTAAAGCAAAATGCCCTCTTCTTAATGCTCACCCTCAAAGAGCTGGTTTTGGCCTAGACCAAAATAGAATGCACATATTAATACGACCATTATACGCAAGTTGTGTTCTATCAAAGATTCACTGGAAATAAAAGAGAATCTGACTGCTCGAACATCAAGGTGGGCACCACCTACGGCATACTACTTCGTCAGAACTGCCACACGCATGTGCATGTGTGTGTGTGTATTGTCCATCCTTGCAAAACAACCCCACACGAGAAAGCATTTCTGCAACACACCGATGTTTCTATAACACAAATGCATGTCTGCAACATACCGTTTCATTGGAGTTTCACTGACTCATCTGTGTGTACATGTGGATTGATCAAATGATCACAACGATGAACATCACCACCAGAAACAGAAAAGCGTTCATACACGAACAGAGAGAGACATTGTGAACATTAATTCGCCCATCACCCTCTCACCATCCCCTCCTCCTCCTCCAACCACCTTTACACATTGCTCGTGTGTCATCCTCCACAATTCTTTGCTTTTCACCTCCGCTGCCTCCTCCAGTTGCCAACCCAAATCCCCGAATGCGCTCACCCTCCAACCACAAGCCAATCAACCACATGGCATTTTGTACGCAGAGATTTCCCAGACCACACCAGGGGAAGAATGGATCTCCCTCCCGGAGAAGAGAGAAGAAGACAAGACATTTATGTGTGCAAAATTGCAACTCCGCCCTTCAATCCTTTCAATTCAAGCTGCTCGCATGGCTGTATGGCAGAAATCACCCCAAAAAAACAGGAAAAAGAGGCCAACAGGGGTGGCACATGAATGCAGACGATCTGACCAGTCAGAATAGTACACAAGGCACTAATAAACCCAACTGCCAACAGCAATTATGCTTGGACCCTTCATAACGGTGCATGACCCCTGTGGTAAGATGCCTGTGGACAACCGACAATATTTGATCAGCGCTTCACTGGAGAGCAACAGGAGGGGAAGAGGGTGCCACCTGGTTTTGAAGCACTGATTTATCAGTGCTGCGAGGGAGCCATGCAAATGCAAAGCCGGTAAACATACAGAAAACTCTTGAGAGAAACACACAGTACCTCCAGAAACTCCACCACGGAGATCCACCATCCTCACAACCACTACAGGAGGGAAAGTTGAATTACCTCTACACCTCTAACGCTTACAAAGGGCCCAGCGTGGGGCCCAGCAGAAACTGGACCAGCACCACGCAGGCCGAGCGGGACACTCAAGGGCTGAGGGAGGGTCCGGCCCGGCACCGGGAGGCGAACCGCGCCGGCTGCCAACGGCCGACGAAGCACAGCGGCAGGGGCTTGCAGGCGAGGGGGCGAAGCGACATGCAGTGGGCCCGGGAGACAGAGAGAAGAAAGAAAGAGAGACGAGAGAAGTGACGGGAGGGCTTCTTGCCCGAGCATCGGGCGAAGTGACACGCGAGGGGGGGGGAGAGAGAGAGAGAGAGAGAGAGAGAGAGAGAGAGAGAGAGAGAGAGAGAGAGAGAGGCGAAGCAACCGGAAGCAGCAGGAGGGGTAGCGGGAGGAGGAGGAGGATTCATCATCTGTTGTTGTTAAGCGGTGTGTGAGAGAGAGAGAGAGAGGCGAAGCGACCGGAAGCAGCAGGAGGAGCAGCAGGAGGGGGAGCGGGAGGATGAATGGGGGGACGAGCAGGAGAAGCAG